CGCACGCGTGGGCTTGCCCGAGACTACCCCGGCTCATCGCTCGCCCGGGCTGGCTGGCGTTAAGATGTCCTGGCTAACGAGGGGGGGGAAATCAAAGGAGAAGGAGGAGCCGGAAAGCTCCCTGAGCCAGGAGGAGCGGGGTCTGCTGGTACAGGCTATGCTGGAGCACGGGGGAGACCCGTGGGACTATAAGGTCGTTGGGCAGGACCCCACCCTGAAAGCTGCGGAAAGGCACTGGCTGAATTACGTGTCCGTCTACCATCCCAAGGGGGAGAAGAAGTGCTCGGCCCTGCAGTGGCTGTTGTTCGATCTGGCCCGGGTCTTGCAGGCGGCGGTGGAGGAGAAGGAGCAGCGTATCCAGAACCTGCAAAACAATCTGCAGGTGGCTCACAACGAAATCCTGGCGCTGCGGTGCGATAGCTCGCTGCTGAGCGAGCAGGCCGAGCAGCTGCGCAAGCTGAGGGAAGAGCTGAGGGCTGAGGCTGCCGACAACGCCCGGCTGAGAAGGAAAGTGCAGTGTTTGGGCACCCTGCTGTCGCTGGGGAAGGGTTTGGATCGGAGGAAGGTGGCGGCTCTCAGTAAGGCGGACTGGGACCCGGAGGTGTGGGACGGGGACGGCTGGAGTTTGGAGGCGCGGGAAGAGTCGTCGGTGCCAGGGGTGGGTGCCGCGGGCGCTAGGAAAGTAAAGCCGACGGAGGGAGATAGAGGCCAGGGAGCGGGGGATACATCCAGGAAGGAGAAGGTTTGGAGGAAACAGAAGGAGGGATGGCCCGTATGGGTAAACCGAATTTGGACCTTGGAGCAGTGCACTCCCTTCACGCATGAGGCGGCGAAGCGGGTGGTGACCGCCATCGGGCTGCCGTGGCCCAAGGTAGGGGCAATTATCAGAGCCCTGCCTGCCGATGAGACGCTGGGGGGGGAGATCTTAAGGCTGGTGATCAGAAATTTGGGAGAGTACGAGCCTCTCAAAGATAACATGGAGGGGGCGCCTTGGAGAGATGTCCAGGAGGCGTCAGCCTACATGTGTGGGAATGTCTTACTCCGGGCGTTAAAGCAAAGGGAGAAACCGGTAACCCCTGACTTTGACATCTTTGGGGTGAACGTGGAGCAGGGGGATGTGGGGGTGCTGGCCTGTCGTGCTCCTGAGCTGCACAAGGGGTTTTTCATCAGCCTGGGGTCTACTTTAATTGGCCGCCCCCTCGGTGAATGCATGGCTACCTTGGAGAACATGGGGACCGTGATGGGAGCTGAGGGGAAAGGGATGGCGAAGAAGGATGGGACGGGGGCAAAGGGGAGGAAATACATTCCTAGAGGGACGATTTGGAGATATTTAATAAACCAGGGGGTGAATGAAGGAGAGCTAGATAGTCAGCCCACAGGAGTTTTACTTGCCAAAATGAAGAAAATCCTTCAGGAAAAGGGGATGAAGCAAGAGGAGATTTGGGAAAAACTGAAGCAGATTAATCCATCAGCTCCTCCCCCTATCCCAAAGAGAAAGCTATACCCACCCTTAGGGGACCTTAAAGATTAGGAGTTCCAACCCCTGGTGTCAGTGGGATTAACCTCCACCACACTGACCTGGTGTGCAGGGGGAAGGGGCTGCATGGAGGTACGATGTCTGTTGAAGGGGGGGTGGGAAATTACTTTCTTAATTGCTATGGAATCAGAGACAACGTTATTAGATTATCAGGGTCCTCCACTCCCAGCTAAATCCGTCCAGATATTGGGAGTGGGAAGGGGAAAAAGGAGGGGAAAAGAGGTAGAAGCCCAGTTGTGGGTAGGGGATGATAAACTGGATGGGTGGATAATTCTGGTAAAAGGGGGGCAAACATTTTCGGAATGAATTTGCTGTCTCGGTTCAAGGTAGATCTGTCCAAGGGAAAACTGTATTGCGCTGCTGCCTCAGAAGGTGAAGGGATCACAGGAGTCTCCAAGTCAGTGAAGTGCCGGTCTAAAAGTAAAACAGAAACAGGGGTAGTAAATGAAGAGTATGAGGTGGTTCCAGCTGGAGACCCCCTCTTCCCATCCCAGTACCCATACGGTACCAAAGCACAGAAAGGTCACAAGGATGCTCAGGGGATGCAACAAAGGCTGAATAGGTAGGGATTTAAAATCCCTATTTTCACAATCTCTCTGGAAGTCCAGGGGTGTGGAGTATGTGGACAGTGGAAACCCCTTGCAATCAATTGTAAATCCATGTTGGATTATGCCTTTGACCCCTGGGAGTGGGCACCACTTGAACAGTGGCAAATCGATTACGTGGGCCCCTTCAAGAGGCTGAAGGAGGGTTTGTATCGGTTTGTATTTGTTGCCATTGACAGAACAGCAAGACGGACAGAGGCAATGGCAGCATGTGGGGCTACTGCTAACACCACGGTTTGGTGTCTACGTGAAGTATTGAATGGATGTGGTCCTCCAATCTTAACTGATTCAGATGAAGGAAACCACTTGACAGATGCACCAGTCCAGAAGTTTCTGGAAGGGGTAGGGGTGCATCAGTTAACTGACATTTCCTACCATCCACAGTCCTCCAGGGTAGTGGAGAGAGCTAATAGGTCCATCAAGGTGAGACAGAAGTTAATTGCTGAAGAAAGAGGACTGAGCTGGGACGAAGCACTTCTGTTTGTGTGCTGGGCCATGGGAACAAAGAGCTCGCCAGGCACCACCGCAGCCCTTAGAAGCTGGTCTGTGGCCCTGCCCCACAGATGGACATCCTCTGTGGTGACACCAGTAAACAGCCATGTGCCTCCGATACTGATTCAATCCTGGAACAGGGTTAAATCAGCAGAGAGCACGGGCCCATGCCGCTCTCCGGAGTCGCACAGCTCAGGAGCAGCATGCCAATATAAAGCAACATGAAAATCAACCCCCACTGGGAAATGTGGTCCTATCCGCCCCAGGTACGAAGGGGAAGGCCCAGAGAAAATTTAGGGGTGATTGTGGCTCATGGGTTGGGAAACACAGAACTAATTGAAAAAAAAAAAAAAGAAGGGGGGGTTCATGGGTAGATGGGGCACACTGCTGGCAACTCAAAGAGACTGTTTCTAACTAGCGTGTAAGACAGACTGGTTTTCAGGATCAAATGTGGCTGTGGGATCGATCACAGGTGTGGACCACAGAGAGTCTCACCAAGAACCATCTTCTTTGAGGTGCTCATTGTTGTGTTAAGACAGCATCAGGAATATTGTTAAAGCACTGCAGGCCCTGTTCAGTGTGTTTTGCTGGCTTCTAGGTGTAACAGCGATGGTTTGGATGTGGAACATCACTGCTGTTAATAATTTTATTTCCTTCAGGAAAGATGTCAAAGGAATTTTAATACGAGACCTGGAGATGATGGGGATGACCTCAGATGTTTGGTTTCCCAGTAATAAGCATTTGTTAATAGACCTTCCAGAATTAACTGACTTCACCTGTAAGAGAGCATGGACTGGACAAAAAGATGGAACTAGTAAAATAGATATTCAGCTTGGATCCCAATATGGGACAGCAGCAGAAGTTGCACGGGATATAATGGCACCTTTGCAACCAGCGTAGTAATAGGGGGATGCAGTTGTATCACCTGATGTGCTCTTAATTGTTCAGATGGTGCAGATTTAGTTCTGGCCACTGAGCATATCCAAAACTAAAATCACACCATCCACAAGTATCCACAAACCCTGTAGGACAGTATCCATTTTAATCCTGTAAGATGGGGGGAAAAAGATGGGGAATTGATATGTGAGGCATGAACTATTCTAGAATACATCCAGAGTATGACCTGTATGTACATGGGTTGTGCCTCCCTTATGATTGCGAAGTCTCCATCCTTGGAGACACTCAAAAGCTGTCCAGAGACAGTCCTGGGCAACTGGCTCTAGGTGACTCTGCTTGAACAGGGGATTGGACCAGATGATCTCAAGAGGTCCCTTCCAACCTCAACCATTCTTTGATTCGTTCTATGAAAATGGCAGCAATTTTGAATCGTATACAAGGCAAATGGGTAACAAACTTCAGAGTGTTGTTTGATGCAGCAGCGATGATAACTACCTGGGATAACCAAATGTGGCATGTGGTAAAATCAACTGCCAAGTTAAAAAAACAAAACAACAAACTATGAGGGATTACATTCAATAATATCTCTACCTATTGTACTCAAGCTCAATTGTTAGCTATTAAAACATCCTTTTCAGTTGGATTAGCTCTGTTCTCATGGGCAGTACAACAGAGATCCCATAT